TACATTTTCATGATGGTAAATTGTAAGACGTTACAATCACAAGCCATGAAGAATATTATTGTCTAGATCTACCAAAAATATTGAAACATATAAGTGCAAACACTCAATCTCACGTTCCTAATTTCTAATGCAAAAGAAGGATGTGTTTGATCAAAATGCCATCATGCAAAGGAGTCTAAACAATGGCGCATGACGTGTAGCTCACTCCGCCATGTCATATCGCCAATAGTGACGATCGATGCATACATCCTCTGTAATCGTAGGGTTAGTAAAAAATAATATATTTTTTTATACTGGACATATATTTCTATAATCGATCCTCATTTAGAATTTCAATATCGAGGATAATCATAGATTTTACAAGTGATTCTTTCGCTGTCTTCACCCCAATAAAGCATGCGATCATTTATGCGATTGTAGATCTTTTAAGTGAGTAAACCATCATTTTCACTAATTTTTTTATACCGTAAAAGTCTTCTAGCATGTAGTTATCAACAAGCTTCAACTTTTTCATAAGTTGATATAAGTCATCGTAACACCTCTCCGGAAAATGATGTTTGCACTTGAGATGTAACAAACGAGACATTGCCAATAACTATAAGTAGTTTTCCGAATCGAATCATATTTCTCTACTCGATGCATATAACAAATTGTAAAAAGCTTGGGAATCGGGGTTTAGGCCTTCATCTCGTGTTAGACGGATTAAATGATGGACCGACTTGCATCCATCGCCATTATGTGGTATCGATTGACTTGAGGATCACCAAACATTTGTTTTTGTTGAGCATAATTAATTGAATTTTCATCATAAACGATCGAATCATTTTCTCTATAACGTCTCCATACATAATACCCGGACACAAAATTACATCTCATCAAATGATACTTAACGGTATCAAGCTTTTCATAACTATAATTTTGACATTTTGTAAGTTTACAAAGATATCGTATCTTATTTTCATCTACACACTGCGGACGACGACCAACACAATTAATAAATTCATTAATCTCATCCACGAAATGCTCATTTAATAATCCATCAATTATTCTAATGTCAATTCGTGAACGATCCGAATTCATTTTAAACTAAATTAATTTTGTAATTACTAAAAATTTAAAATATTTCTAATAACTTAATTAGTAAATGAACTTAGTACATTAATTACCAAATTAATTAGTAAGTATTAATCAACAACTAATTTACGTATATAATATTTACTTATTAACTAAATTAATTACCAAGTAATTTACTTATCAACCACATTAATTACAAAATAATTTATTATTTGAACCACAAATTATAAAATTTACTCATTAACTCCTTTACTTAGTCAACAACTAAATAAATTTAATTACTAATTAATTTTTTAATTACTAAATAAAATTTTGAAAAAAATTAATTTTTAATTACTAATTAATTTTATAGTTACTTAACTCCTTTGCTTAATCAACAACTAAATAAACTTAATCACTAATTAATTTTTTAATTACTAAATAAAATTTCAAAAAAATTAATTTTTAATTACTTATTAATTTTGTAATTACTTAACCCCTTTACTTAATCAACAACAAAATAAACTTAATCAATAATTAATTTTTTATTTACTAAATAAAATTTTGAAAAAAATTAATTTTTTAATTACTAAAAATTTAAAATATTTCTAATAACTTAATTAGTAAATGAACTTAGTAAATTAATTACCAAGTATTAATCAATAACTAATTTACGTATATAATATTTACTTATTAACTAAATTAAGTAGCAATTAATTTACTTATTAACTAAATTAATTACGGAGTAATTTATTATTTTATTATTTTAAACACCAATTATAAAATTTACTTATTAACTCCTTTACTTAATCAACAACTAAATAAACTTAATGAATAACTAACTAAATAATTCACAATTAATTTTTCAAAGTACCAACAATTAAATTAACTAAATTAATAACTAACATTCAAAAATAAACTAACTGGATTAACAATTAACGAGTTAACGGTAATAATTAAATTAACAACAAAAATAATTCAAAATTAATTTTTCAAAATACCAACAATTAAACTAACTAAATTAATAATTAACATTTAACAATAAACTAACTAAATTAACGATTAACAATTACAATGAAAAATCAACAAATAACAATAACAATTAAATTAATAACAAAAATAAATAACAATAAATTTCCTTAATAGTAACAACTAAACTAACTAAATTAACAATTAACTCTCACAATCAATAATAAATTAACTAAATTAACAATTAACAACTAAAAATAACAATTAAGAATAACGGAATTAACAAAAAAAAAAACTAAATAATTGCAATAAATTAAAATATTAATTGAGGTGTTAGATGAGGGAGGACCTATTACCAACAAGGAGGAGAGGGGTCTGCGTTGGTGTGGTGGGTCGGCTGGAATATGAGAGGTTGAGGAAGAGGGGAGAAAGAGAGAAAGAAAGGGGGAGAGATGGAGAGGAGAAAGGGAAAGAGGAGAGAGAGGACGTGATTGGAAAGAAAATAAAGGAGACAAGAAGATTTAAAGGAAGGAAATCGGTCTTTGGAAGGAAGGAGAAGAAGAGAGGAGAAACGAAAATTTTGGAGAAAAATTTCGAGTAGAATGCATTTGAGGGATTCAAAGTTTTAGCGATGGTTCATAGGCTGTTGCTAATTGCACGAAAAATTGAAAAATGGTCGTTTTCCTCCCAATGGTCCGAAAATTAGCAACGATTTGAATACTATAGCAAATTGGCTTGCGACGGAAAAAAAATTCAATTAGCAATGGTTGACAAAACCGTCACTAATGTCCAACAATTTGCGATGGTTTTTTGTCCAAAAAACCATCGCAAATAACAAGTGAGGGAAAAAAACTAAAATTTAACGACGGTTTGCTAGACCATTGTTAATTGTTTGGTCAATTAGTGATGGCTTATTGAAAACCTTTACTAAATACGGTTGTTTATGTCCAACTTAGAGATGGTTTCAAGACCATTGCTGAATTGCTTAGAACCGTTGAAATTTTAGTAAATTAATGATGGTTTATAGACCGTCGCTAATATCCTCTCGCAAATCACCTAGTTTTTTGTTTTGATGCTAAGGATATCTTTTGACTAAATTTTACACAAGTAAATATATTTATTTATCTTTATACAATACCTAAAATTTTTATATATCTTTAAGTTTCTAATTATATTTTATTTATTTTTGAAATTATTTGAAACATTCAATTTGTATTTTTAATCAATTTTTTGTGTTAAATGATTTTCTTTTTATCGAAATGCTCCTTGTTGAAATGAAAAAAAAATATTTTAAAAAATAAAACATATAGGTTACGTGACTATAATTTTTTTTTTAGTAAAGAACATTTCGAGCAAAAAAATTTTATGATCGAAAAATTTGATTGAAAAGATAAATTAAACATTTTAAAATTTTTTATGAACAGATAGAACGTACTTGAAAATTTAAAAATAGATAAGAAATTTTGAATATTCTATAAAGATATATTGAGTATTATATTAAAATATATGGATATATTTATTTATTTTATACTTCAAAACTACATCCCTTTCAATAAAGTTTTAAGTAACACATGCACATTGGAACTAGCACGTGCAGAAGACAGTATTTTCTTCAGAACTTCTCATATGATTAAAACATCCAATGATAACGAGGAAAGTAAACTCATTTACCAATTAGACTTAACTTTTAAATATGATTTTTTGTAATATATATTTTTATTTATTATGAATTTAAAAAAATATATTTTAGGATTAATTTACGCATCAAACAAGATTAATAAATTTTTCTATAAGTTGATATTAAAATATAAACTTCTAAAGTGTATATATACCTCCCTTGACCACCAAACCAATTTTAAACCAATTTTTTAAGATTGGTTTTTCTAACACATGTGACAAGAATATACAGTTGATTACTATAAATCAAATGTTTTAATTTTATAATGAAGTGGATTTACTTTCATAATTAATTGAATTTTTTAATTCATAATTCAGTATTGTTTACTATAAAGATGAAGGCATTCCATTTATATCTATTAACTTGTAAGACACAATAGAGAAACCCGTATTGTAATTTGAAAACTATCTTGTTTTGTATGCAGTTTCCACTTTGTTGCCTAACACCACATTTGGCAGGGCGGGGAAGAGAATAACATAAATCCCAATACGATTTCTCTTATTTAGAAAGAAGGACCCACTTTTAGCAATCTCTCCAACTGGAGATAAAATGCGGGAAAACTAATAAAATTACAGTTTTATCCTTACAAATGCCACTTTTTACTTTTAAAATAAGGGTACAGAAATAATTTACCTTTTCTTCGCTTTACTTGTTTTCATTTTGATCTCATCCAAACAAAATAGCTAAAGGAGCATCCTATTTAGTCGACACACGTTAACGTAAGCAGGTAAAAGAAAAATTATGAGCTTAATGAAAAAGAAGGTTAAAAAAAAAAAAACTCAAACGTGTTGAAATGGAATTTGGGCTGAGAAGAAAACGGGTCCAAAATCGAAATATTAAAAAGAAAGATCAACGACAGAGCGAATCAAGTAACAAGACTGAGGTGGGTCATGCTTGGATTTGCTTATGCCACCAAACAACCAGCCTAACGCTTCCGCATAATAGTTGGGAGCGGTAACCTTTATTGCTGGCACGGAAACCTCGTGGAAGATGTGTGCCATTTTTTATGACACTTCCGCCCCCGCTTTCCTCACTCTGTAGAATTGTCTATAGCACTCCTCTCCGCCAATTCTCGTGCATTTTTCATTCCCAAATTACACACCCAAGACCCTGATCCACTTGACTTTCTGATCGTACCTCTCTCTCTCTCTCTCTCTCTCTCTCCCCCGCCCTTCATTTAAGAACTAAGACAGTTCCCAACATTTCTCTATTTAAATACCAAACCCACCGTCTCAGTTGTGCTGCAGCTAACACAAATTTTCTAAACAGTGAACAGAATAGAAAAAGGAAAAAAGAAAAAATGTCGAGGGCTACCGTTGAACTTGATTTCTTTGCCATGAATAAAGAGAACAGCTCCTCCTCTTCCAAATCCAAGTTTCTTAATCGTCAAAGAAGCTTTCGAGGTCTGTTTTTATTTTTTATTTTTTTTATTTTTCCGTTCTTCTTTGTTGTATTTCGTTTATGTTGTTCTTATGTTTATGAGTTAAAATTGATTCTTGTAATTTCTCTTTCGGTTTTATAGATATTCAGAGTGCTATTTCGAAAATAAATCCCGAGCTTCTAAAATCTGTGATTGCCTCTGGCTCTGCTGCCAACAAGACTACTCCAGAGAATGGCAATCAGTTCTCAAACAAATCATTCTCTGTGCCTTCTACTCCTAGGCAAGAGCAGCCTTCATTTCCTCCTTTGCCTCTCTATTCTCCTCTCCCAAGGTACTTAACTCACATTTTCCCTGATGCTCGTCTCTTACCGCATATTATTGTTTTAGTGCTTTAGTACTCATGACACGAATATTATGTATTCTATAACGTTTTAGGCCTAATTTGGAGAATCATCCCGAAACTGCCCCCTTGACTATTTTCTACAATGGAACCGTTGCAGTTTTCGATGTCCCTCGCTACAAGGTGTGTAAAATTATACAGACTACTAAAATATTGAATTTTGTTAACACTAATATAAATGCATGCCTTTTTTCTTGTTTTTTTCCGTTACTTAATTATTATTTATTTTTTTAAAAAAAATTTAAATTACTAAACAGGCGGAGAACATTTTGAAGCTTGCTCATGAGAAGGGAATCTCCAAGACCAGTGTTGAACCAGCAGCTGATCCAAAGACTGATCAGCAACAGCTTCTGGAGAGTCTTGATGGAGGTTTGTGTTTGTTGATTTTTTTTTTTTTTGGTACTATGTACAAATTTATTAACTTTTTAATATGCACGTAATGGCCATACTGACAGGATTTTGATGGTTTGTTGAGCAGATCTGCCAATAGCTAGGAGGAAATCCCTGCAGCGGTTTTTGGAGAAAAGAAAAAACAGGTAAACCCCTTTTCTTTTCTCTTTTTTTCGTGGCTTGATGTAAGGAAAATTGAAAATTTTCTTTCTTTAACACACAACTTAGTTTGCTCTCAATTTTATTTTTACATAAATGAATGAATGCTTCGGGTGGCACATATTTCGTATCAATCTAGTGAGATCCATGCTTTATGTTTTTGGTAAGCAGAATCTACCTCCTGCCCGTCTTAACAGCAAGGCGGAGTGACATGAAAATGAGATGATTAATGTTATCTTTAATTTGTTTAGATTTTAGATTGAGATCAATCTTATCTAGTAATAGTGTGTAAGGACTTATCCAGTTATTTGGGATTTAGAAGAGTAAAATTGTAAAGTAGTCCTTCTATTTTTTAGAAACGAATTAATTAGATTTTTTTTTTAATTTCAAAAACTAATTATTTTTTTGACCGATCTTGACCACACTTAATAATATTAATTAATTTTAAAAAATATCATATTTTTTCATCAATTCTTATATATTTTAACCTTTTTTTTTTCTATTTCTTAAATAAACAATCAAAATAAATTGAAAAAGAATGAAAATGATTTAAGTTACAGAAAATTTAAAAATATAAAAATTAAATAATTAGATTTGAAAAAAGGACTAATTAATTTATTTATCAAAACTAGAAGTATTAATTTATGATTTATTCAAATTTTGAGTTTGAAACACACAAATATGAATAAATGACCTTTTTTAAAAATTTAGCAATTCACGTTTTCCATGCTTGACAAATCGTTTTCGTAATTAAAGGTTATTGGTACATTGTATATGCAGGTAAAGTCTGTAAGTGATTAGTTGGGTGTAAACAAACGGAAGGCATCTTTTAATGGGAATGATTTATGATTGATTAGTGATGGGGTATATTTGATCAACTATATACAAGCGATAAATATTTCAGTGTATTAACTGCGTAAACAAATTTCACAATTTCTGAAATTTGTTATGGCAGATTGCCCAATTACTTGAATTTTTATGTAAAATGTTCTTTGTTAAACATAGAAATCTCCTTATTGAAAATCATAATAACATGGGAGGTTTTCTGAAACAACCAAATAAATGCTTAAGCATGCAAAAAACGAGAGTTTAACGGCAAGGAGTGAAATGGGTTTTCGGTGTTGTCTGTCGCGATTGGGGTGTAAACATGCACCGAAAAGTGAAAGGAAAAAGCACATGGCGTTGACAGAGATTGCTGCAAACAAGATAATCGTCAAGGATTTATGAACATGATCACTCAAATTTCTTGGAAAAGTTTATTAATTATCAACAACCCGCAACCAATCAACATAGTATTAGGATATAAAAATGGATGGTGATAATGAAAATCAAAGATGTCGACATGGTCATATTTGGGTGTGCATGTTGTAGGAATTGGTAAGCTCTCCGTGTTGGTGTTTGTCTCTGAAAAGTAATCTAATTAAGTAGCACGCGTTTTTTATGTTTTTGTAGGTTGACTTCGGAGTCCCCCTATGTTTGCAAACCTAATACGCGCTTTTAAGGCAGGGAGACCAGGAAGGACTACTACTGTTCATTCTAGGCTAGGCCTCAAAAGATGAGAAAGATGAACTAGACAACAAGGAAAGAACCGTTCTCCGAATATTTTTTTCCATGTGTTTTTTGTGCTGGTGCCTCTAGTTGGCTTTCCTCTTTTGACGAATAGCGACTGCTAATCTACAGATAAATTATTATGACTTTTATTATTATTATTATATGGGCTTAGTAGGGTCCATGGTTGTGTTTTCAGAGTCACGTTTTAGTAATTGCCCTTTGGCTATTAGGTTAAACGCTCGTTTTCCATCACCTTTGTCGGAGTTTCCTATGGTCTTCCGTGACTGTTTGAGGGGATTTTTTTTATTATTATATGTAAGAAGTTTGGAACCACATGTATACTACTAACTCGTTCTAGAATATTTTTTTCAATGTTTATCTTTATTGGTTTCTCTATTTGCTTTTGTTCATTTACTTCTATGTTTGCTTTTGTTGTTTATTTTGTTGAGTTTGCTTTCGTTGTCCTCTTTACGTTAGGGCAGTACATTTGTACCAAATGGTTTATCTGGTCAACTAATAGCAACTAAAATTAAGATAATTATTTCGGAGATAATGTTAAAGAAATTTGAATGCGTTTGGCATGATTGTGGTAACTTCCGACCCTTGCCAAAAGAACTTAGGTGTAAATCAAGTTCTGACCCTTGCTAAAAAAAACTTTGGTGTAAATTAAATTGTTGAATTTGATAACAAATAAATTTGGTATTTTTTTTTGAAGAGAAATGTTTGGTAACCATAGTTAAATATAGCAGCAGATCAGGAAAAAAAAAACAATAATTTAAGCTGAGTAGTGGAGCGATTTGCATTTAACTTGTCTGGGTTCCCATCCTGTTTTAGGTTTTCTTTGCCTTGTGCTCTTTGGCAAGTCAAGAGCCAAGCAGCTAGCCTCATCTCCTCTCCTAATGTTCCAAGTTCTAACAAAAACTTTAACTCACTAGTTTTCTCTAGGCTCCAACAACACTAACAAAAATAAGGGCTGAATTTGGCATTGATTTGAGGGCCATGGCACCCTCAAAGTTTTGAAAGTTTTCGATCTGACTCTTTTTTTTTTCGAAGTAATTAAGCACTTGACTCCCCAGAAAATTATCATGTTTTCACTGCACTCTTTCTAATTTTAATTTATTTGGAAATTTATCCTAGCAGTTTTTTTGTTTTGATACTATACAAAATCCTAGTTTCACCTCTGCTAACAACGAACTCTGTCCTAAAGAATAATTTTTTTATAATGCTTTCAACTTCACTCTTTATGTATTGTTTCGAATTTACAGAGTCAAATTTTTGAATTAATTAAAAGCTAAAACTTTTGTACAATTTTATTAATCACTCCTTCTAAAGATCAAATGGCTAGAAATTTCCGAGTTTTAATTGGTGTATAAGAGATTTTTTAATTTCCTAAAGTATTGATTTTCATTAACATCTTGCCTAAGCAGACATTTTACAAAATTATTTTTATCAATATGAGTGTATATGAATTCAATTAAGTAATTTCCTATTATAATACACGTTGGAAAAATTACTTAAATCAATGATAACCCAACGCCCGCACTGGTCACTAGAGTCTAATCCTTCGCAGTTCTTCGAGAATGGATTTGATAGTTGATGCCTTGCTGGCAGTACTTTTGAGTCTTGAACGAGCCAGTTCCATGATTCAACTAAGCGATATGATCAGATGGTTTTGCACTGGTCAATTACAGTCTTTTTCGTGGATCCTATCAATATTACTGTTAATTTAAATCCATATTACTATCTCACATGTACATTTAAATCAATAAACAATTACTGTTAATTTAAGCAATTCCATAGTTTGGACAACCTTTTCTAAATAAAGAATGAAGCACAACCATGAAGATATGTCAGGTAAATAAGGTTCTAGCCTTAATTCATTTTTGGTTGGCTGACTGGCAAAAGCAAGAGGTTGAGTGTCAACATATCCAAACGTGCTCAATTCTGTACTGGACCCCTATTTTTTGTCATTCGCCACTGTGATAGTAAACTAATCCTCAAGAATTATTATAAATTCCTTTCGGCGAGACACATGGCTTCCAAGTTGAGTGGTAAATCGACTGATTGGACCATAAACTTCTCCATCTAAAGTCAAATATTATTGATTGGAGCCGGGATGAGGTTAGGTTTAGGGTTGGTTTTTATCTTATCCAATTTGGAATGGTTTGTGAGTATTGTGACTTGGGTTCTAAATGCAAAAGTCAAATCATGCCGGATCAAAATATTATCATTAATTTAATTTATAATATGATCTAGGTTAAAAAACAAAAAAATTACCATTCTAATAAAATTGTGATCAACTTTTTAATTGACAAGTGCTAGCTTCGATACCATTTACCTGCACAGTGAATGTGTCTATACGTGGGCTTTTGTGTATGTTAAGTAGTGATAAAATGAAAACATGGTATTTTTATTACCAATAATGCCGATGATACTTATATTTTTATTAACATAAATTGAATAAGGATGAATTTATTTCCTTTTCTCGGAAAAACATGGATCCTTATAAGAGAGCAAAACACGATTCTTAATTACCTAATAATTTTTCATGAACCAAGTACTTAGGATTGTGTTTAATTTACAATCTCCAACTATTCCTCTCCTCCAATATCACTTTTTTTGGGATCGTATTCTCAAGAAATAGATTTCCAACTTCCAGAAATATAAAAATTTTACATTTAGTGACGTTTCTAGATTAATATTTTTTCGTTTTGTTTCTCAATTGAAAATTCTAAATATAGTTTGCATAACACCATCATGTTTTTGTTGTTATTATGGCACGTAAAGTTATAACTTATAAATGCAATAACAAACTCGATTTTTATAATATAAAAAATTGCTTCACGTTAAAAAAAAATTCGTATTCTCATCCTATAATTACTATTTAGGAGATACAAAATATACTAGCACATATAATAATTTTCATAAATATGAATTCATTAATTATATAAACATAAACAATCAAATTGGACAATGAATATATATATGTCAACTAATACGGAAGTAATAATTAAAAATTAAATATAAAAAATTAAATGTTTTGTAATGTTAAAATTATAAGAAAAAATTTAAAATTTATAAAAAGAACATGAGATTTAAAAGTAAACTTTGCAAATTTCTTCGCTTTTTATTTTTTAATTTTTTTTGTTTGTTTATTGTCATTTTATAGTAGTCGCGTGTGATAATTAATAATAACAAACTAAAAGTATTTTTGTTTTAATCTGTAAATAATGAGAACTATATGTCATAATATTGAATTTCATTGTGAGATTCTTTTTGGTTAAGCCGAAGAAGAACTTTATTCCAAAAAATAGGAAGCGTGGAGGTTTAAAAATGTAAAATTCCTGAAAAAAAGTTGGGTTTATACCTACGCCGAAGAAGCACTTTATGCCAAAAAATAGGAAGCGTGGAGGTTTAAAAATGTAAAATTCCTGAAAAAAAGTTGGATTTCTGGTATAAACCAAATATAAAATTGTTTAACTTGTTATGGACCAAAACATTAGAATCTCAATTTTTTATCCTTTTGACCTAAATCATATCGTTAATAGTGTAGTTAAAATTATATTGAAAGTGTGTTATGGGCCGAATCACCATTATTTAAAAAAAATTCTTAATAGATTTTCACTTGTAAGCAAAGTTAGGATTGGTTTGAAAAAACTATGATTTTTAATCTGAATGTAGTTCTAACTGTTATAATTATCAAATAATATTTGGCGATAAAAGATTCAAATTCCAAATGCTTCATTTTAGACCTTCTAACTTTTGGTTTTTAAATAACTTTCGAAACTTCTTTTATAATTTTACTAAACAGCTTTTTCTTAGGCTTTAAAAAGAAGAAGCCAAAACTCCTTTTGCCAAACGGATACTTAGTAATATTCATGTTGAAAAAAATAATACTATGAAATAGGTTAATAATAGTAGTTATTTGTATTTCGAGCGTTGCTTTTGGAGATTATATTGCACAAACCGGGAGCATGACAAGTAGAGTCAGCCTATTCATTGCGATTAGACCAAAGAACTTGCGATTGGATTAAAGTTTATGCACTCTTTATTGGTTACTGATCTTCCCAGACAAGCTTCGAACATCTTCGTTTTTGGGGGTACAAGAGATAAAGGGCCCAAAAAAGACAAAGCACTCGCTATTAACTAAATAAACTAAAACAAAACATCGGTTTACTCGTTTCAAATACTGTTTACACACTCATAATTCACTATTTATTAATTTTTTACATTTTAATCTTTGATGTTTGCCAACTAATCTTTCGATCCACATCTTCATTTTCTCATCTATTTTGATCCTTGGATGAGAGAGAAGGGAGGAGGGAAGAGAGAGACGGGAGGAGAGAAAAATCGTCGACCAAGCTCATTTAGGCCGCTTTGATCGGCGAAAATCCACTAGATTTATTTATTTTTGAGAGATGAGTTTGTCCATGATTGTTTCAAGCCATTAAACCATTAGAGGAGGTAGATCGAAGCCAAAAAGGGAAACAAAGTTTCGATTTGATTATGTAATTTGTTTTTGTTTTTCTATGCATTAAAATGATTTTTAAGGTTTTAGATATGTTTATTGGCTTTATTTCGATCATTTAGTGGTGTTTGGGGAAAAAAATAATGTTGGAATTTAATTTTTAGAAGTCTGAAACTTGAATCCCGACTTTTCGACAACGATTCCGACGACCTCGATTGTCGGAAGTTGCAAGTTTTTTTTTTTTTTTTTTCAGCAACAGCCCAGGCCTAACGCGCAGGCTTGGCTGTTTTTTTTTTCTTTCGTTTCGGCTTAGGAAATTGTTATTTATTTTGGTCCCTTCATTCTTTTTTTTTTTTGGTCATTCATCTTTTTTGATCTTTGATTTTTATCCCTATAAAAAATATTAAAATTTTATTATATGTGATTTTAACCCTTATAATAAAATTTTTTTTAACTTTTAGTAAAAATTTATGTTTTTTTTTTGGTATAAAAATTTTCTCATATTTAATTTTTATCCTTATTATGCTAAAACTAAATAAAATTTACTATCATAAGGTTTTTTTTTTTTTTTTACTGAAATTTTCTTTCTATTCTAATTTCTATTTTGTTATTTTTTCTTTCTTTTTCGTCATTAAATTTAGTAAAAAAAATAATTTTAGTCTTTGTTTTGTAATCGTTTTTTTTATATATAATTAAAATTTTTTCCTACAAGGAACTATTTTTTACTTTTAATAAATTTTTTTTGCTATATTTTGGTTTTTGTTTTATGATCTTTAATTTATTTTGATCATTAAACTTTTATTATATTTAATTATTAATCATTTTACATTAAAATTAAATAAATTTTAACTATGCTAAGTTTTTTTTTTTTTTAATGAAAATTTTTCTGTTATTAATTTTTTTATTTTAGTCATTAAAATTTTATAATGTTTACCTTTGTTCCTGCCTTATGCATAATAACATTTTTTTAGTCTTATTATTTATAAGTATTTTTTGTATGCTTTTAGTGAAAGTTTTTTTATTTATTTATTTTTATATTTTTATAATCTTTACTTTGTTTCAATCATTTATTTTTTTATCATGTGTAATTTTATCTTTATTTTCTTTGTCAAGTTCTCGATTTGATAGAGTTTTTTTATCCTTTTGTTTTGAGTGGTCTCTTTGTCTCATTAATAAATTACAGATGAATAATATATAGTAAAACTTAATCATCGAAAATTCAAAAAACTATCACATTATTATTTTAATTATCAGCTATTAATAAAATACATGGTTATATAAAAAATATCTAATTAGTAATATTATATTACTCAACTTTATAGATTTTTCATTAGCTAACCCTATAGCAAATTATGAAATATATATTTTATTTTTTAAAAAAATTATTTTCGAATGATATTATCAAATAATGATTTGTAAATTTTAAATTTTATATTAATAAATACATAAAAATAATATATAATTTATCCCGCTTCAACACGAGATATATGCTAGTACAAATTCTAAGCAAAAAATTCCATACAATCAGCAGCAGCCCATAAAAGAGGCCGTATCTCATTAGCAGCAGCTTTGAAATTTTAAAAACATTGAATAGAAAGGAAAATAAACTTCAACCAACCATTAACCTTCGTCCTTTTCTTAAACTGAATTATTTCTTCTCTTTCTAGAATTCTAATTTACATTCTCAATTTTTCATAAAAAATAAAAATAAATAAAAAGGATGATTCACAATTAATAAGAAATCTCGTACCTAGTTTGCAAATAACAATCACTACCTTCTGTTAAAAAGAAATTGTTTTCTTTTTTATTATTTATATATGTTTCAAAACAATCAAAACTTTAAATAGTATATTTTTCCTATTGATTCTAGCTTTCATTTCCCATTCCTAATGAACAACATTTTTTATACCCTCTGTTAATTGTTATGTATTTTTGCTACATTAAAAATATTTGTTCTTATAGAATTTTGAAAGTAAAATATTTCTATTTAATTAATTCAATGATTTTCTTTTGATTTATTACCGTAAGTTCAGATAAATTTTCTTACATCAATATTGATTTAATGTAATACAAAATTAATTAAAAAAAATGATCAATAGAAAGTATCATCCAAAGTTAATGAAAGGCACAAATGTTGTTCTCGTACTACGTTTTTCATCTTCAAGATGGATTTCCAGTTCTAGCATTTAGACCGATAATGGATGATATTGAGCTTATCAAATGTGGCCTTCCTAATTGCTTTACCTAAAAGCCCAGCTAATAGCGTCCATTGACATAACAACTTACCACTAAAAGGCTTAAAAGTTACGTCAAATCTGAGATTATAGAAAATATCTGGTGACTTACTTTTTTGTCAAGAGAAAGAACTATTTTTTACCCAATCACTGATAACTTCCAACCCTTCAAGTAATCTAAGAAAAAATCCCAAGTTTTAAGAACAGATGGGTAGATTTAGCACCAATTCATCTACAGTTAAATGCAGATAGCGATCCATCACCAATCAAGCAGATTTAAGTTTTTACTTAAAAGCCTATTTTCCATTAAACGAGTACATACCCCATCAAACCTGTGGTAAAATAATGAAATAAACAAGAAGACAAAGAAAAAAAAAAGAGAGACACAAAGTAGTGAAAAAAAAAAATGGGGTAAGAAAAAGGCAAAACTAACAGTTGTCGAGTCATTCTATTCCATTTCTGGAGAAAGGAAAAGAATCTGAAATATAAACTCAAACTGAAGCAAAATGGGAATGACGAGATGAGCATCAGTTTTAAAAAGCTCGAATTTTGAAGCTTCATGGATTAATCAGCATTCAAAATAATAAAATTTTCATCATCTGCTCAGATCTCATCTTCCTGTATTAAATCAAAGCCACAAAAGAGAGAGAGAGAGAGAGAGAGAGAGAGAGATATGGAGTATTGAAAAACAGAAATCAAATGATAAACAACATAAAAGAAAGAACAAAAAAAAATCTTGTTGAACCTGAGTGAATTAGTCTACAGAACTGAGACTGTGGCTGCTATAAGGTGCTTTATATAGACTAGAGAGGATCCGAAAACCCTAATCACCAAAAAGCTCTAAACCGACGCGCCGTTTCCTTTGCAGCTTGAACTGGCGCTGTTTATAAACTCATTAGCTGATTAGCATGGACAGTTACAGTTTGAGTACACCAAATCTACACTTTTTATCGTTTCAGTACGCAAACTTTAATTGTTGTCCAATAAGTATTACCATTAGATCATTGGATCAGCCAAGAATAAAATAGGATGCCCGTTGCCTCTTAAGTTAATCCGTCATCAGATGATATAGCAATATGCCACATTATCATTTGGGAGCTGCTTACGATAAATGATAACGATAGTTTCACCATGCAAACTATTATAGTTTTTTCAATTAAGTCCTTGAAGGCTTATTTTTTTCAAGCAAATATTCTCACTGCGGGATATACATAAATATAGATCGTGTTTCAGCGCAACATGACTCTTATTCGAAAATAATCATTCATTTCTTTACACTTTAAAGCTTAAAGTAAAACAAAAAAGTTTTCTTTGTTTAATTTTTTTTATTAGCTCACGTTATATGAAACTCCTAATTAAAAGTTTGTCAGCAATATGAAAAATGCACATATAATTTGAAAAATAACAAATGAGGTATTTAAATCGTATATATTTAACTTTTTTTCCCTCCATTCGATTACGAAAAAAAAATTGTTCATAAAATGCCATATAAAAATTAGAAATAAAGCGAGGAAACATTTGATAAGACCGGAGTGTGAACGCCCGAATGAAGGGGCCAATAAAACGCAGTCCTGAGCACAGTACATTTTGCAAAATAGCATGACAAAAAAGTATGGGCCTGGTCTACACGGCAAGGCCCTTGACACCTCGGTCTCAGTCGTCCGATTCATTTGAAAACGCAGCGTTTATCTCCCTTCATCAGAGCCGTTTTGGTGCCCGTAAGTCACCGAACTACACAACATAAATGCTCTTCCTCCTTCCGTTTACCCTTTTCAAATTTTGGTTAACCAAAAACAGAAGCGCATGATCAGATTGCTGTGCTCTAAAACACTACAACTTTCAAATCAGTGTAAAAACGACACCGCATTATGCATTATCACCCGACGTGGGTTTTTAGCCCAATGCACCTCTCATTCTTCACCAGAATTCAACACTTACAAGTACGGTTCTTTACTTCAAAGCTGTATCCAAAACGATGACTACGCTACTGGAAAATCACTCCACTGTGAGATTCTAAAGAAGGGTAATTGCTTAGACTTGTTTGCGACTAACATTCTTTTAAATTTGTATGTAAAATGCAACTCATTACCTGATGCAGCTAACCTGTTCGATGAAATGCCTGATAAAAATTCGGTGTCTTTTGTTACTTTGATTCAAGGTTATAGTCAGTGTTTTAGATTTTATGATGCTATTGGGTTGTTTTCTAGGTTACATGGAGAAGGTCATGATCTTAACCCTTTTGTTTTTAGTACTGTTTTGAAGCTGCTTGTTCATGCTGAGTGGGCTGATTTGGGGTTCGGTGTCCATGCTTGTGTTTGTAAGCTTGGTTTTGAGTCTAATGCCTTTGTGGGTACAGCTTTAATTGATTGTTACTCTGTTTGTGGGTATGCTGAATGCGCAAGACAAGTTTTTGATGCGATTGAATACAAGGATATGGTTTCTTGGACTGGGATGGTAGCTTGTTATGCAGAGAATGAGTGTTTTGAAGAGTCTTTGAATCTTTTTTCGCAGATGAGAGTCGTTGGGTTTAAACCAAATAATTTTACTTTTGCTAGTGTGTTGAAGGCTTGTGTTGGGCGGGAGGTGTTTGATGTGGGAAAGGCTGTTCATGGATGTGCTTTTAAAACATCTTACGTGGAAGAGCTTTTTGTTGGTGTTGAATTGATTGATTTGTATATGAAGGCTGGAGATGTTGATGATGCTTTACGAGTGTTTGAAGAGATGCCTAAAGATGATGTGATTCCTTGGAGTTTTATGATTGCTCGGTATGCTCAGAGTGAGCTGAGTGAAGAGGCTACTGAGTTGTTCTGTAGGATGAGGCAAACTTTGGTGCTTCCTAATCAGTTTACGCTTGCTAGTTTACTGCAAGCATGTGCGAGCTTGGTGGATGTGCAATTAGGGAAGCAAATACATTGCCATGTAGTTAAGGTTGGTTTAGATACAAATGTGTTTGTATTGAATGCTCTAATGGATATGTATGCTAAATGTGGAAGGATGGAGAACTCAATGCAACTGTTTGAGGAATCACCAAATTGTACTGATGTGAGTTGGAATACAGTGATTGTTGGCTATGTGCAGGCAGGCGATGGTAAGAAGGCATTGAGTTTGTTTAAAGATATGCTTGAATGCCAAGTTCAGGGATCGGAAGTGACATACTCTAGTGTACTCCGTGCATGTGCTGGTATTGCTGCTATGGAACCAGGCAGTCAGATTCATTCGTTGTTAGTGAAAACTATTTATGACAAGAACACTGTGGTTGGCAATGCTTTGATAGATATGTATGCCAAGTGTGGAAGCATTAGAGATGCACGTTTAGTGTTTGATACACTAAGGGAACGTGATCAAGTGTCATGGAATGCTATGATCGCAGGATATTCTGTGCATGGGCTATGTGACGAAGCTCTAAAGACTTTTGAATTGATGCAGGAAACAAAGTGTAAACCAGACAAAGTAACTTTTGTTGGTGTCCTGTCAGCATGTAGCAATGCAGGACTTTTAGATAGAGGACAAGCTTATTTTAGATCTATGGTAGAAGATTATGGCATTGAACCATGTGCGGAGCACTACACTTGTATGGTCTGGCTTTTAGGTAGATTGGGCCATCTTGATATGGCTGTCAAGTTGGTTGAGGAAATTCCATTTGAGCCTAGTGTTATGGTGTGGCGGGCCTTACTCAGCGCTTGTGTCATCCATAATGATGTTGAACTTGGAAGAGTCTCTGCCCAACGTGTTCTTGAGATAGAACCAGATGATGAGGCAACACATGTATTATTGTCGAACATATATGCTAATGCTAGGAGGTGGAGAAATGTGGCTTACATTAGGAAAAACATGAAAAGGAAAGGAGTCAGGAAAGAACCAGGCCTAAGTTGGATTGAAAACCAGGGTAGGGTTCATTATTTCTCTGTAGGGGACACTTCACATCCTGACACAAAATTGATTAAGGGGATGCTGGAGTGGTTGAACATGAAATCCAGGAATGAAGGTTATGTTCCTGATTGTAGTTCTGTTTTGCTTGATGTGGAGGATGTTGACAAGGAACGGCGACTGTGGGTCCACAGTGAAAGACTAGCTTTAGCCTATGGTCTAATTAGAACACCATCCATAATCCCTGTTCGAATTATAAAGAATCTCCGTATATGTGCAGACTGTCATTCTGCAATAAAATTAATATCAAAGATTGTACAGCGAGATATCATTATCAGAGATATGAACCGTTTCCATCACTTTCAGGAGGGAATTTGCTCTTGTGGTGACTACTGGTGATTGGTGTGCAAATGTAGATTCTGATTTTTGGGGATTTGCACTTTCAATCTCCTTGATAAAGTTCCTTATCATGGTGGCTGGTGGCTCGTATTTTATAAGGAGGCCTAAACTTTCTGCTTTTCAGCCATGCAAGCAAATCAATAAACATTTATGTCCATGCACTGCTAAACTCTGACCACAAATATACACTTGTGCATCAGCCATATGTCCAGCTGCAAAAGGTACAAAATGGTGAAACAACTCTGTCTAACCTTTTATGATACAGTTTAGTTTGGGAGTTTGATAAGATTTAATTTGTAAATAAGCCCCAAATGTTCCTAAACTCAGATGAATGCTGTGCAAATCATCTGTTGGTTTTTGGTAATTCATCCCTGAATTTAGTAATTGCTTGTTTGTTTGGTGATCCTATATTTGGCCTTTATACTTCTCCATGCCTTCCAGTTTACATGCACAAAATTAATTTGTGTCTGCATTCTAGTAAAACGAAATTGATTAGAAACCTGCCAGTTGTTTCCCTGAAATAACATAATGTTCTTTTTGTATAAATATGTGGGAAGCACTTAATCTTGCACAAGTACTATTTCTAGTGTAACAGGATTTTTTGTGTGCTAATTTATGTTATAGTAAGAAGTGGCAGCTCAACAAGATGCTCAAATTTGTGGAAAAATTTTGACCTCTTATGCTTTCAATATTCTGCTAATTATATTAAGAATCATCTAGATCAATAAGGCTTGGGGGCGATGTTTGGTCGAACAATTTGGTAGTTATGATAGTTGGGTTTCAGGAAACAGTATACTCAGAATATGAAGCCCTTAATAAATTGAGAACTTCCTTTATTACTATAACTGGGTGACTGGATGATGGCATTATCTTTTCCATCATATTTGGAAATGTTGTCTTAATTTTGCCCATCATTTTCTGCACAAAAGTGTCAAGTTTTGAATTTTATGTCTTATTTCCTTAGAGCTCACAAAAAAAAAAAGAAAAAAAAAAGATGTCAGAACCTGATTTTGATATGGATTGTTCACCATTGACCTCAAATGATCTTGCAGCTTCGGCATTCATCACAAAGGTTGGATTCTTTTACCCTTGAAAATTAAGTGCACGAGGTTTGGAGGTATGGCTCTATAATTAATCTGTCAATATATTATTGATCTTCTTGAAGTGGTATTTTTTTAATTTGGTTTAGGATTTTTAGCTACTTTTGAACTCCGTCTTGAGTGATTGATTTGACGCATCCCCAAATTCACATCTGCTGGAGAAATTTATTGCCTTTGAGAAGGATGTCGCTGTATAATAGATGCATGTGTCTAAAAATAGTGCTTGACGCATCCTCTTGGATTTTCATGTTGGCCATCCTATTTTGACTCTTGGAGTTGATGAAAGCACCTCTCAGCTCTGTCTTGGCTGAGGGACTATACACTTGAACAATTTAAACTCATACAAGGGTAAGAGAGCTAGCTGCCTTTATGCTCTTAAAATATGCTTCAACTTTTAGAATTTTGGTTTTGAAAGTGTTTCTTTTGGTTGTTTTTTAGGAGTTATTGATCATCAGAACTTGTGAACTCTTAATATTGAAGCTTTCTAGGTTGATGAACTGCCTTGATATATGCATATGACACATCTTTCATTAAGGTAAGTTCATCCAATTTCCTTCTTGGGTTGATTTTGCAACCCCCCAGCCCCACAAAAAAAAAGAAAAGAAAAGAAAAAAAAAAGCAAGATTCGTTGATGGATAATTACGAAGAATTAGAAAGACATGAAAGCAGGATCTAATTAGAAAATAAAAGGCTGATTGGCACTTATTGTGGTGGCTGCAAAATAATTACGAGTAGATTGGAGAAAGATGAAGAAAGAGGGGGAATGATTAAGAACACAGCCAATTGCCATGCTTTCGTGTTACACTGGTGGAGAGCCTGTATGTACAATGTCCACGTAATTTGTCTGCACAAATTTTCATAATCATTGTCGCCAGTATTAGGAGTGACAAGAATACGATGTATTCCACGAAGGGATAATGTTCTATTGGCTTTTTCTGTAGTCCTCATCGGATGTTTAGAATTGTAATTATAGTTCTTGACAAGCATGCCATTCCATGAATTTAGCATCAGCTATCATTTTCGTACCCACATTCAAAGTTGAGGGCAATGAGACATCTTTATTTAAATCCTATTCATAAGTTGGATAATGTTTAGATTAAACTGAGAATATGGAGCTCATTGGCCACAAAATTTTTTGTCCTTGGGGACCCTGCTCATGCTTCATTCAGATTCTTCATTATTTGAATTCATTATGGATGGGATTCATGATATGTCACTCTAGCGTGTCAATATTGGCAATTATTATTATATTGCAATTTGCATCTGTATGGTTCATACTTCCACTCGTACACGATAGTAGGCGCATCATATCACACTTTGGAAAAGTTCTGGATATTGGAATCCTCGGTGCTCTACCTAGCACTTTCGATTTGTTAGTCATGTTCCAAATAAAATCTCAATCATTATTGATGTTTTGACTCTTGAGATCCCTTCTCATCTTTCAAATCATGTTATAGCCCATAGAGGATAGTGAAAAATTGCCATGATAACAAGTTTCACTACATCTCAAATTTTTACTTGATGAAATGGCTACGGTAATGCAGATGTTTCCACATTCTCTCATTCCCACTTATAGTTTTGTGGTTGATTATGGACTTAGAACTAACATCCAAGAGAGTTGTCTTTTTCTAACTTGCCTCCTCCATTGGTTGAATATTTGAATCTAATGCTAAGTTCTGCCAACATCATGTGTGTATATCTAGTGCTGCCATTGTTACCTTGTTTAGAAGAGCTACTACTGTTACTCGTCATGTGTTTCTATCTTTTTGGTTGCTGTTGTGTTATTCTGCATGAAACTTTGCTAAAGTTAATGGTATCCACTGTGCTTTGTTCTCTCATCATGAAGACAGAGAGAGAGCTTTTGGTGCATGTAAGCTTCAAATATGTGCTTCGTATGTAAAATTGTTAAGGTTTCGATTGTTTTTCCTAAGCCTCAAATTAGATGGGTGGATATCGATTATAGAAATGTTAAGGCAGCAGGATTTTTTTTTATTTTTATTTTTTGAAAGCTTATAATGAACTGGGTTTCTCATTAATTATTTTGGAGCAGACTACCATCACTAATTTTCTAGTACCTGTCATTTTGCTTGACATCGTTTTAAGAAAGCAACTGTTGAACTTACAGATTAGGGACCTCCTATGTTGGTGAATTTCTGCATCAGAATAGAATTGACAAACCAACTATAATAACGATTTGGCGCTCCATTCTTCCACCATCACCTGTTTTAAACCAATTATGTCAATCTTAACATGAATTACCACTTGACTTGGTTTCAATTTTGTCTTACTAAACATAATTTTTGAGTAGTCATCTATCTCGCCAGAGTGTGAAAGTGGAGTAAAGCTTAAATCAGATTTATATTCATTATTTTGCAAGATTTAATAGAGAGCTTGTGCTTTCTTTTGGTCTAATTTTCTTGAGACATTGCTAATCGATAGAAGTAGGAAGCTATCCTTGTTGGAGAGTTAGTGAAAACGACCAGCTAGGCCAAACTGACAAGTAAGATTATCATTCAGGGAAACGAATTCTTTTTTAGTCAATAACTTAATATTACTTTTTTTGAAAAAAATAAAAGTAATAAAGCATATGAATGGAATTATCTGTTGTAATTTTTTAGTTACCATATATTTGGGCGTTGTGGTGCTTGTATTATGCTTTGACTTGATACCCCTAAGAATTTTAATTAATGTGTTCCTTGATCATCACTTTGACGTGTTTTTTTCAGGAAAGTGAACCGACTCAGAGAAACTAAACATTATGAAGTGGATTGTTAGGTAACGTCTTGCTCCTTGTTTGTCACGGTCAAGCTGTTTGTCTTAGTTGAATAGATAATAACCTAATCATCTTACAGAATTATTATTGTAAATAATTAGCCATTCTGGCAAGATTAGCATCGGCTACGATGAAGAATTAGAACATGGAAAAAGTACGCACCAATATTTGAGGAGCCATGTGCAGTGTGGTGGTCCTGTAAGCTGTCAATAAGGCAATAAATATTAAGGAAAGCGGAGAAAACATTTACAATTGCCCGTTTGTTTCTCCCTTATTTACTTGGCTAACTTGTTCATGAGCTCACTCTATGCTCTATTTCTCACGATGCTAGACAATTAATGCAACAAAACTACACAATGGCAGCAGTATTTACATCAATAATCCCACGGTAACAACTTTAACCAATGGTCCATGGTAAAATCTAATAATTTATCTCCATGAAGTCTCGGGTTTACACTTCCCAACATAGTTTTATGACCATCACAAGATTAAAAGCTTGCGTCTCCAATGTGTGAAAGGTGGAGAGTTAATTATACATACCTTGAGATTTAGAGTTTAGAGCGTGTCCACTAAAATACCAACATTTGAGTTGGCTCCTTCTCTGGATGCCATTACCTAAGTTTGTTTTCACCATTTGAGAATAATTTGATCGAATTTTCCTTCTTGCTTTGCTTAAGCAATCTATCGATATATGAAGATGAAATTTATTTTTCATTTCTTTCTCTTTTTAGCTCTGATAAAGAAATAAAAGATCGCGAACTTATATATGTTACCAGCAAATTTCAATGAGCTGGTTGAGAGAACTAAACAGGTGTCGGGTGAATCACAGCAAAGGAGACTTGAAGGCTGTAAATGACTAGCCAACCAACATGGATCGCTTTGTAGGAATGTATTCTGTCATGGTTAATTGAAAATTCGATCGAATTGTTTACGTACGCGACGTTGCATTAATGTTTTAGCAACAGAAAGAAAAGGATATACGTAAAAGATACCCCAATTTTTTGCGCGCTGACTTGCGTTCATGATTTCTTTTTTTATTTATGTATATATTTTTGAGAATCAATGTTCCCTTGTTTTAGAGTTTCAACTTAAGATGGAGTGAGCATGCAGCACGATCTACTCGAGAGAAACTGAGGGGGAAAAAAAAGAACAAAACAAAAGCATAATGGCAGTACGGCATTTAATTTCAACATCTGACCTCAACAATGAAATTCTTACTGACCTTGGAAAAGGGGGTGGAAGGTTTTTGAAACTTGAAAACCACTTCTAATTTTTCAAGTTCTTGACCATGCTCTGAAGTTACATTACATGGACGTGATTAAGCTAGAAAAAAAGGCAACAATTGACAGATGACATTAACCAACCTAGGACCTAATCAGAAATTCTTCATATACACAAACATATACATAGCTGTTGCCCTAAAAATGAACAATCTCCAAGTCCATTTAACTGATTATGAATATCCCATCAGATACCATTTGCATTGACCTGAAGTCACAAAATTAAATGTTGCATTACACATTTTTTTGTATATTTACCTATAAAAACGGCAACCAACCAATCATGCCCTGTAAAATTGAAACAGTCAAGTCACATATTCAAGTTTTAGAAGAAGCTATCGCAAAACTTATTTCTGACAATATCCCATGCTATATAATTAAAATCTTAACCTTAGAATATAAGAAAAAAGAAAACGTGTGCTGACCTTTCACTTTGTCCTGAACGTTTGCATAGTGTATTTCATTGGTTCATTGACCATATCAAAGATGAGCCATCTCATCAAAGAACCTGTTATGGGTTTTACAAGGCAATAATATGAAAAGGTTTTAGACATCCGAAGTGCGGAGCAATATTGGCAAGATTCACGTTGCCATTTCTATAATAATATTAGTGCACACATATAGTTGTTAGCTAACTATGAGTTTTGTTTATTACTTTTTGATGATAAATCAAACGTCGACGTGACACAACCATGACAAATCCATTCATGTTTCAAAATCAAAATTATATTCTCTCCCCCACTTGAACTATATAATCAACTAAGATATGCATGGGACCCCATATTCCCACAAAGTTTAAAGATCGCACATAGAAACAAACTGTTATTTTGATAACTTGGCACTTTATTTCTATTAATAATACAAACAAGAAAACAAAGTACATGTATTTGATTAACTAACCTTGTTAGTTGTGTACTAGAAACAAGGATCCTTCATTAATTAGTAAAAGGGAGAATAAAATGATGGCGGCAATAGAGAAAAAAATAAAATAATACTAAGCAACAGGAAGGAGGAAGAAGAAGAATACGTGTTGATTAATAAGAAGGGGAAGTGGGGCCCACGGAGGAGCCCCCTGAACTCCGGCTTTGCACGCGCAGTCAGGGAATTGGGGCCCACAGAGAAACAGGCCCACGCACGTCCATGCAAAAATGAAAAGCAATACTGCTAGAAAAAAAATAAAAATTAAGAGCGTGGAATTTTATGGACCCCAAGGCTGCTTGTTTTGTCTGGGAAAATCGAGGCTGCATGCTTCTTATCCTGAACCATCGGTCACCCTAGAAAATATAGAATCCCTTCTTTCTGTCTATCTGGGCAATATGTTTTTATTTTATTTTATATAGTAGTAATTGTTTTTGAGAGGTGTTGGTCATCATCATTATTGTTTGTTATCAACTTGGAAAGATGCAGAGTCCACGCTTTCAAGTCTGAATTTTAAGGTGTGTAACACTGACCCCAATACAAAGTGTTTCTTTTACAACTTCCTCTAAACAAATACTATTAGTTTGCATGTTTGATTCTTTTTAGGGACTCTTCTCGTTTGTTTATGAGAAATGACAAAGATTCGAGGTGCATGGATAATTAAGTAGAATATAATTGGTCTAAATCATCTGGGTATTATACCTCCCGCATCGCCCCTCTAATTACCTACTCCATTTAACAAGGGATTTCATCATGAATTCTACTACTACTTTGCCTTGCTAGCTGCTTCTGGTTATGTGCATGGATGTACGGATTATTATACATAATTACCCATATATGGATATTTATGCGGAAATGATGTTAGAGGGAAAGGGTTATTATTACTGCTACCTTGGGCTGCTTGCTTTGGATTCACACTTCTAATCGAGACTATATACTTCAAAACAAACAAAAAGTCATGTGATTGCCATCTACTACCCGTGCCTATTATGTAGAAACATTATTAGATTCTCTAACTCTACTATTTTTAATTTACACGACCTAAAATTTTTACATTACATTTATCGTAGTAGATTTCACTTAAATACACATAAGAATAGTTGATAATTTATCCTTCATGTAGCCCAAGGATGATGCTGACCTCTAAACAACTAGACAGCAAAAAACAAATTGAAATAAAGTTGATATAATTAGTTTCCCATCAAATTACATCTAGCTAGACAACATTAAATGTTGTGTTTGATGGTGATCTTGAATTTGCATGTAACAATTGAACAAATCACGTATAGATTCTTGGACATTTGCACATAAAACCATGCCGTACGTGTTGCTAGAACAAGAAAAATTATTGTTCTACCTTCTGTAATTAGAAAAAACCTAACGGATTCGCTTAAGGCATTTGTTAGGAGGGTAATTATTGATAGTTTATGGTAATTAAATATTATAATAATTAAGCCATTTCGAATTTATCATTCCTTGTGAATTAACGGCCGTTGGATCTTTGATCCAATGGCCAGAAACAATTTTTTTGAATTTAAAAATTTGATTGGATAGTTTCTAATTAATATAATATCTATCTAAATGTCAACTATTAATAATTAATCTGTTATATTGTAGCCGAAGGATACATGTTAGTTGGACCTTTTATGCAATAATAACCAATTAATAAATTAAAATTTTAAGTGTCAACGAATTGTAGTTTAAGTGGCTTTAATGTCGTTCCTCACTCAAAAAAATTTCGAATTCAATTTTTTTTAATAAAAAATAAAAGATAAAAATTTAAATACAAGCATTTCTCTTATTAATTGAGGATTGTACTTAATCTTGTATAAAATCTCCAGCTCTAATTTAATAGTATTACAATATTTTTTGCTTTCAAAGTATTGCAATTTAACAATTTCGAGTTCAAAGTATCAAATTGTGTAATTTAAATCTCAAAGTATTAAGGATTGAGCAATTGTGATCCAAATTGCCCAATCTCTATTATTTCTAATGGTCAACTATTAGTTGACCGTCACTTAATTTTTATTTTTTAATTGAAACTACTTTCAATTCATCTCGTAAAGACCTAGTCTTCAACGAAAAAACTTAATTGAAAAGGAGAGAAGGGGAGAGATTGCGAAATTGATAACTATATTGCGAGAAAGTTGTTAGAGTTCATGAGATAGTCTCTTAAATGTTAGGTTTCGGTTAGGTTTTAGGCTAATTGAAGTGCATTAGGGGTAAAGAGAGCGAGTTAGATCTTTGTCAAAATCTTCTACAAGTCTTGTCATCTTCCGATAGAGAGAATTAATGGATTCCCATTCATTTTCTTGTTCTTCTTCTAAATCATCAAACGTAAAACCCTCTAATGTGAAAAATATTTTTTCATTACTCATTCAAAAACCCCAATATGATCATCTCGATGATTCACTTATGAGATACTGCAAATGTGGACTCCCGACTCGTCAATGAACATAATGGAGTGATAATAATTTAGACATGAGGTTTTTTACATGTCTCAAATTCAACATAGTAGATGACGAGTATAAAATACAATTGATTTTAGTTTGAGGATCCTATGGTTAGAGGAAGAGCAAGAAATATAATTAATATTTTGAAGTATACTCGAAAAAGGTTAACCGCAGAGAATGAGCATCTATTAAGAGAAAATCTACTTTTAAGAGATAAGATTGTTGGTAGTAACAAAGATAGGGAGAAGAAAAATTCTGGTTGTAACCACTCGTGTTGGTTGTTTGATTGCAATAATTATGATGTTAGTTTAATTATAGGTGGTTAAGTAGGATGTCATTGGGATTAGGTTAATATTGACTAGGTTTTGTTTGATAGTTTGTGATAATTTTGCAAGCTTTCTAGAATGGATTTTATTCAATAGGATTGTTTGCAAGCTTACGCAATCGGTGGGATAGCAATATTGTTGTTAGGCAATAAATGTACCGATTGAATGTTAAATGTATCAATTGCATATTGAATGCTAAATGTATTCGAGCATTATGTGGAAAAAAATTGTAATTTAATGTTGATTTATGGAAATTAACATGTTAATGTATAGACTTTTTTGTTGAATGTTAAAGGAGAATATTTATTGTTATGGAAATAAAGTGTTATGGATAAATATATAGGCTTTTTTTTTTGAATGTTGATTGTTATGTTAGAGCAAGAGCAAAAAATTTATGGGTGTTTTCTACGAATTGATGAACAAGCAGAAATTCTTCAATTCGCAGAATTGATGAACAATTCGGGGTGAGAAAAGGAAAAATTGATAGTAAAGAGTGAAAATAAGAGAAATCAAATGATTTTTAGCTATGGGTTTTTTCAAGATAGTGGTTGAATTTTTGGGTATCAATGTTGAATTTTTAGGTTAAGGGATGAACACCTAGGTTTTGACTTGAAGTTATGGGTTTTCTTCTTGAATTTTTTGGTTTAGGGATGAACACCTAGGTTTTGACTTGAAGTTCCAAATTTTATTTTTGAATTTTGGGTTTGGGGATAAATTTCTAGGTTTATTCAAGCATTCTAAGTTTTGAGAAACACTTGAACTTCAAGTCGAAACCTAGAAATTCAAAAACAAAACCCGAACTTCAAGTCAAAACCCAAAAATTCATCCCCAAACATAAAAATTTAACATCGATACCCAAAAATTCAAACACTACCTAGAAAAAACTTAGAAAACCCGGAACTAAAAACCACTTGAATTGAAAAGTTTCTATAGAATTGATGAATAATTTTGTAGAAAAACACTTGAATTTCGCGAATTGCTCATCAATTCTATAGAAATTCATCATTTTTTTACAAAAATAATCAATTCTACGGAATTGATCAACAATTCTGTAGAAATCATCAATTCTCCCAAAAATCATCTAAAATTCCTAGAAAAATATCCAAACTCCCAAAAAAAAATCCAAACTCTCCAAAATCATCCACCAAACTCTCGAAATCAAATAAAATTCTCATAAAGCATCCACAATTCCTAAAGGCATCTAATTGGAAATTCATTGACAAAATAAGAATGCTTTAAATCCATTGACAATAAAAAAAGAAGTAAGAAACATCATCCATTATATATAATTAGCATTCTGAAATTCAAATCAATGGATCAATTATATATAATTAAGCTGTTCAAAATATAAAAATGGTCCATTAAAAAAAATATTTATGAAAACATCAATCATTTTCCATAATATTCTCAAACACCAACAATCCATCCTTGATTCTTCCCCGATTTTTCTTTTGTTTTGACATGTGGATTGCTTAGATTTCTACCCTTTCTCCTTTGTTCAAGTTATTGTCGAGTTTTTTGTTCATCTAGAGATTGAGTGCTTGGATTTATAACTTGTAAAATACATGTTCCATGCTATACAAATTGCAAAGACCGACAAAACTTTGTTACAACAAAGAAAATGCATAATTTTGATAATAAATATGAATTGTGAACACCAATAAAAAATTACATTCCAAATTGAAAATCTTGATCATAATTCACATAAAAGCCACATGGCTATCTAGAAAGTCCTTTATCAATAGGATGGGAGGAAGTAGTTGTAGTTCCTAATTCTTATGTTTCAATCAACTCTTTCACTAGTAATTGGTCATCTAGAATTACCTCCTTTCTTGTTGTATCAATTAGTGGTACGAAGTTCAAGCATCTAACACCTATTGACCTATTCCGGAATGCAAAAAAAAAAAAAATTAAAATTCATTTCACATAATGTTCAATTCTCATATTATTTCGAATTAAGAAAAAAATTAAAAACCTTTCCTTTCTTGTTAGAACAAGTCCTTCAATTGTGGTATTTTTTTATGAAATTAGGAATAATACATAACGTTTCTTATTCTTGATCAATTCCTCCCTCTTTTTTCCCCACTTTTTCTAACCCTTTTATATTTCCTCCTTCTACCCTTCTTCCTTAGTGGTGGAGGGGCAACAAGGCTAAGTTCTTTTTTCTCTCTCAAAACTTCTTCTCATTAACAACTTACAAAGCAAACTAGTAAGACTTTATAAACATCTCTTTCTTGTACCAATGGGAGAAATAATCTTCTAGCTTCTCATTTATACTTTCTAGTACATGCATGGCATAAACATAAGAAATTCCACTCGATATTCTATAGTCTATAACTCGTAATATCCAAAAAAATTTACATGAAAATGTATTGTGCTTATTTGTGCGTAAATGTGCTATATTTGTGTATGTAATTTAATATTTTTATGTGTTTAGATGATGTGATGATTAGGTATAAAATTTTAGAATA